CACAGGCCCCACTCTCACCCCAAGGGCAAGGCCAGAGGCTGGGCTGAGCACGCCGCATCTGTGAGAATCCCTGCTCCTTGAGGGAGCCACGCCGGCACCGTGCAAAAGCTCAACACATTCTTCTACTGGCAACCAGAGGCTGGGGCTCGCTTCCATTTGCCCAACGAGGATTCAGAGAGGCTGGGTGGTCCTGCAGGAGGCCACACAGCTCTCTCCCCCCAGCCCTGAGCACCCTTCCCCTGGAGCCCTGGGTGCCCCAGGGGCCGGGAGACGCTGAGGGTGATGGCTTTTCTGCCTCTCCCCTCCGCAGGACTCTGCCCTCGCTGCTTCCTCTTCTGGGCCTGGTCTGCATGGTTCTGGACACTCCCCCAGCTTAATGAGCAGCTAGTGTCCTTGCAGGAATCTCAAGGCACTATCTGTTCTCTTCTCGGCCGCTGCTGCTCAAAGCATCACCTCTCAAGACAGTGAGTCCTCAGTCACACCAGAGAAAAGGGCCACAGCCCCTTCCTCCCTGCCTCCCCCGAAACCGGGACTTCTCTCCCGCTTTCTTCGTGGTGTGGTCATCTCCCCTGCAGGCTCCAGCCAGGCCTCCCAGAGATCCTCACGCACCTGCATTCAGTCACTGATCCCACGCGTGAGAGGCAGAAGCGTCCTGCCGGGGGTGCGTCCAGGGCGCGGGGTCAGGCAGCTGGGAGCCCCGGCTGCCTGGGAGAGAGATGGGGAGGTCCAGGCAGACAGAGGCCACACTGACTGGCTGGAATCAGAGGCCAGCCGCCCGGTGACCGGACCGAGGGCTGCTGGCCTGCTCGGGAGGGCGGCTCGAGTCTTCAAATGGGTCCTTAGACCGTGCCCCACCCCGCCCACTGCCCCAGGCCCACACGCCAAGAGGCCTATTCCTGACCGCAGGGTGGATGGGACTGTCACAGGCCCAGGGGGTCGTGGCTGGGTCCAGTCCTATCCTGCAGACGGTGCCAAGACTCCCAAGCCCTCAGCAGAACTGTGCTCTCCTCTGCCCTTCCTACTCTGCCTGCCTCGTGATCCCCCCCAGGAGCCGAGCCTCACCAGACCTTTCTCTCGGGTGCCAGGTACTGGGAGACTGTGTCCTGGGGCCTCGACCAGTTTGCACTTGACTTTCTGCCATCAGAACAGAGCCAGGTTGCATTCCAGGATAAATCAGATCCAGGTGCATAACCTGGTTGCCAGGGAAAAAGCCGTACTGGGGGAAGGGAGGGTGGGACCGTAAGGAGGGGCTTGGGATCGGGACGGGGGGTGCCGCGCAATTCTGTACACGTGAGCAGTAGGTTGGGCTGTGTGGCTTACCTTCCCTAGGGGCTCCGGGCCACCGTAGACAGCTGTTCCTTCCAGCCGGGCTGGTCTGATGCGGAAAAGAATTTGGGAGGAAAGCCTTGGGTACTGAGGGCTGCTAAGGTACGTGGTCTCAGCAGTCATGAGTGATGTGGAACACGTGACAGTTAAAGTGCTAAAAAAAAAAATTACAACTGGATTTACTTTTATCAGATGTGTGCATTTAAAAATAATGTCTGCTTGAAGTTAAATATGTTTTTTTTTTAAGTTTTAATGTTTATCTTTGAGAGAGAGAGAGACAGACAGACAGAGGCATTTGGGGAGGGGCAGAGAGAGGGAGAACACAGACCTGAAGTAGTCTGCCTCGAGTTTGACGCTGTTTCAACCACGGACCATGAGATCATGACTCGGGAGCCGCAGGTCGGTTACCTAACCGACTGAGCTACCCAGGTGCCTCTGAAGTTGAGTCATTCCGCTGTTTGTTGCAGTAAATACACATACCACAAAAACTGATCATTTGCACCTATTTTTTTTAATGTTTATTTATTTTTGAAAGAGAGAGAGTGTGAGCTGAAACGCAGAGAGAGAGAGAGAGAGGGAGACACAGAATCCAAAGCAGACTCCAGGTTCTGAGTTAACCGGGCACAGAGCCCGACGCCGTCGGAATCCTCAATGCAACCATGAGATCATGGGCTGAGTCAAGTCGACACCTAACTGAATTGAGCTACCCAGGCTTCGAGGTGCTCCTTAAAGTGTGTACAGAAAGTTCCGGGAGAATGTGCTCAGGGGAGCAAAACTCGTGAACGGTGTTCACGGCGCACTGCTGGGTGGTGCCCGAATTTCAAGGCCCGAGGCCCGCAGACCCTCTCCCCACACACTGGGCTGCTGGACGGGCTGCTGGATGGGCCCAATGGCAGGCGACGCCCCTCTCCGCTCAATCTGCCTGGCTTTTCTGGCCACTGTTTGTGTCCCCTCTCCTCCTGGCCTCACCGGGTTTTTTGCATTGTTTTTGCTTTCAGATCTTCCTGAGCTACACGGACGCGGCTCCAGCTTGCAGTTTGGGAGGCCAGCATCAAGGGAGTCTTTGCTTCAGGTCAGCTCAACTCCCTGGTCTGAGGGCCTTAGCAGCTGCTGTCCAGTACCTGTGGCCGGGCACGCCTGCTGCGGGCCGGTCCTGGTCGGGGAGGCCGTAGGCTGAGGCGGTCTGCCTGGGTGCCGGGAGAGGGGCTCCCGACACCGCTCACCCGGGCCAGCATGTCGCCAGTGTGTGCTTTGTGCAACATTTGCCAAGTAAGAGGTATCTGTATTCTTTTCCTTAAAAACTTAATCCTCGAAAGTGATAGAATTGCCGTGAGACAAGAAGAGAGCGAAGCACGGGACGGCGCCTGCCTTCACTCTCAGCCTCCCCCTCGATGTGCCAGCTTAGAGGCCCCTGAGGCTCCCTGAGGGACACTTCCGGGAACTTAAGCACAGGACCCTTCAGGCTGCTTCTGCATCGAGGCCCCTCAGGGTCACTCCTGCAGGAGGTCGTGTCTGTCGCCTAGCTGCACACTGTGACTCTTCTCTGACTTTTCTGGACCCACAGCCCCTCCCCTCCCTCTTTCCTTCCTTCCGGCCCTCGGACAGTTTATTGCATCCTGCTGCAGAGGAAACCGACCTAGAGACTCAAAGGCCTTACTGCACAGTAGAGCCCCAACCTGAGTTTAGACGGGCGCAGTCTGCGTCGTCTGCCGTGTGGTGGCCACGCCACCATTCTGAGTTTGGAATGGGACTCACGCTTCCTTCGGGGCTCCTCTGCTGGCCTCATCATCAAGCTGTCAAAGACCTCTCTGGGCTTCAGCTCCACCTCCAGTGCTAGGCTGGAGGTGATTTCACACTGCTACACGGGACCGCCATTGGAATCCATGCTGCCTCCTCCAGGGCGCCTTCCCTGCCTGGCCCTGCCCTCGGGCCTCCCCCCCCCCCGGGCCGACCCCCCCCCCCCCCCCCCCGCCCCGGCCCCCAGGGCTGCTGTGCAGGGGCCCATGTGTAGCTCCTGGAGGTTTCTGCCTTTCATGCCTCTGACCATTGTTTCCAGAGCATTCCCACCCTGTGGGGGCTGTTGGGGCCCCCGGAGGCTTCCAGCCTGAGCCACGGGCTCGGCGATGCACTTCTGGGCTGACGTTGGGCCAGGCTGTGAGTCTAGTCGTCTCCAGCCCCTCTGTCCCCACCACCAGCTTGTGGTGAGGGTCCGCACAGTGTCCGTTGGTGTCAGCAACCCTCGGGGAAGCGTCCACTTTATCCAAGTGGTTCAAATAATGTCAGTTATGGGAGGAAGGAGCGAGGGGACCGGGTTCCTGTCCTCTTGGGAGTCTTGTGTGTCCTGGGACGAACTTGTCCATCACATTGCTCTGAGAGCAGTTTTACTGGGGGACGGGGTGGGGGGGCCCTCCAGAGGCCCCCGACACCATCCTGTAGGGCTGGGGAGGGCTGCTCCCTCCCAGTCCTATTTCCAAGTAGGGGCCTCCCAGGTTTCAGGGAGGAGTCGTGAAGACTGGCTCCGGCATGACGTCTTACGTTCACCAGATAGACAGACAGCAGCCAGCATCTTGTCACCCTGCAGGGACAAGCATACGACACTCTGCAGTCCGACCTCCCCGGGCGGCCAGGTTCAAGTGCAGTTGGCACAAACGAAAGCGTCCATTTGGGGTGGGGGGGGTTGTTTAAACTAGGGACAGTGAGGAGGACTCCCCCGGGGAGGTGGTGTTTGATGTGGAACCACGGGACACGCAGGACGGGAGTTTTGGACGCGC